GCTACTGAGAACTCAAAGAAACAACAAGGGAAGACAGGTTGGCTTCACTTCGGTAACATCTGAGGAAATAGATACGCAGTAGTCTGCACAAATTGGATTCCACTGTAGGTGACTGGCAAGCAATATTCCCTGCAGATGTTGAGAACAGCGAGCATCATCTCTATCACATGAATACAGATGAGAGAACTTTTCTCCCAGAACTGCCATCTAATCTGGCAGCTAAATTCACTGCATGATACCGAAAGAAATACAAGTGGGTTTTTTTACTGCTTTGCATTTTTCAAATAACGTTATTTCAGAAGGTGGCCAACAATATTGTTGAGAGCCTGACAGTAAGCCTTAGAAATCAGTAGGAGAGCATACAATGATAAAGTTAGACACTTCGTTAAGATGTATAAAACCACAATTTATGATTAAATAGCCTGACTTCCTTCAGCAACCAGCTACAGTGACAAATCGGTCTGGGACCATTTGAAGTTTTGTTTCTTTCTACCAAATAGCAAAGGCACCATCCAACATTCAGAGTTTGTTTGTGGGAATATATAAATAAACTGATTAAAGAAGAAACCACATAGGAAACCAATTTTGTATTGAGCTCTTAGCTGAGAAAACACCTAAAATAACCATACTGGTAACTGTATTGGGAAACGCTGCTCTAAGATGGAGACTGGATGAAGTAAAATGATGGTCCAAACCAGTTTGAACCGTACAAATGTTAAGAAAAAGTCTAGGGTTGGCTGAGCCCATCAAGTTAATACCAAATCCATCTGGAAGAGTGTCTTGTGCAATTATTTCTGCTCTCTAACAAGGTCTTGTGAATACATAGGCAGCATTCTTTTGCAGGTGCTGATACAGTTACCACCTGTCTTGCAGGACTGAATGGGAGGCTTGATTTTGATCGAAGTCTGGAAAATGGAGACACCTGGTCAGTACCGGCTCTGCCAGGAAGCGTGCCATCCAGAAGCACCTTGCCGTGAAGGAGTCACGAAGATGGGCATGCTTTTACTTGACTTTAGCTGCTTTCCCATTGATTATCAGAAGCCCTTTATTCTGCTAAAAAAGGAGGATAAAAAAGCCTGTACATAATTTTGTAATTAGTATCAATACTATCCAGTGGCGTCCTTTCTAAATGCAGTAGTGACTGGGTGATGAAATGCTGCTGCTTTTATTTACGGCTGGTGAAAACTGACTGACTATTAGGAATGCAGACGAGTTGTAGCTGTTTAAGGGAAGAGGTATCATAATTAATTATGGTATTCTAATAAAATATAAATTAATGTTTAATGCAAACAGCATAATTTCTATGGCTGTTTTTCTACAATAGATAAGAGGATCCAACACCCCTTCTCTTATTTATGCAGTACATAGTTCTATTTTCTATCAATAACTGTCTTACCAAGCAGAGGGAAGGACAGGGAAGAATGCCACACATAGAAATCTCCTGGTTCTAAATCTAAGGCAGTTCTAGGTCCTTTTGAAAACCTAGTAAATGACAATTGATTAGTAAGTGTTAGAATCATGACGATTTGTTCAATTCATCATTTTAAGAGAAAAAAAATTATAGACACTTAAGTTGAACAACGGACCTACTAATTCTGTTCCAGACCAACAAGCAAGGAATTCCCCAGTGAAGTATCCTGTACTTCTCGCTCCACTTTCTCTCTCATGTAAAACCCCAAAATCTGCCTACGCAACTTCTGGCAAGACTACATAGGTTAGAGTAGTCAGGATACATGACTGTTTTAAAAATTTACCTCATCATATTACTAATTAGGACAGGGATATGTAAAGGATGGGAAAAAGGAGTGTGTGTGTGTAGAGGGAAGCAATACACTGACTTCCATATGAACCATTTATTGAATAAATACATGCATCATAATGTAGAATTACATGAGCAAAAAAGGCAATCTGTACAAAATTGATTACCCTTTGTTCTCATTTCAACTCTCACCATTTGCTGCAGCTCTGATAAAGGATTCAAGACAGAAAATTAAAAGTCTCTTAATCCAAATCCAAGTGATATGCATGCTGATTTGAGTTTGGGTTATAATGCTGCTATAATTAAGAAAGCTGGTTTTCTTGTCAGTGAAGCAGAGTAATTCTAAAAACAGTTTCAATAGTAGAGAACATGTGTTGGTACATACAGGTAACAAAGCTTATTTTTAGCCGTTTCTTAAACATCTTAATATATTCATATTTTAAGGCACAGGATAAACAAGAACTACATGAAAAGCTATCAGTTGATATTGATACATTGACTTGATAATGAGTGCAATTTTTGCCCAGAGGAAAAATGATGTTCGTCCTTCCTACTTCCGTATCAACAGAACAATGAGAATTTGTTAACTATGATACAGAGGTTTGTTTCCACTATCGAAAGAATCAATCTCATCTAGGCAGTCACATTCTGATCCAAAGTCACTCAGGAGAACATTTGTAAAGAGTGTGGCATCTAAGACTGATTACAGTCAACAGGAATTAATGTTGCTGAATTACAATGATAATTCAATCTCTTCATTTTAGATTCCTAAATGGGATCTGGGCTTTTTTAAGAACCTATCCCTAACTTTAGGTTGTGAGCTATTTTGGAAACTTGTCCTATATACTTCATTCAGTTACTCACTTTGTGCTATCATCTCACATTTACCCAAACATAGCATTTTTTTTTCCCCTTTTGAGACTTCGGAAGACAAAATGTGCACTGTTTTTGTTTAAGTGCAGAGTCTTCTAACATATGTCCCCAGACATCACTTAAGACTTGAAACACCAAATCAGTCTAAGAGCCCATTTGTCAGCCATGGATCAAACTCTGGGGAGTCACCGGCCAAGATTACAGTGGAAGTTCTTCTACCTCAGGCTGAACCAAGGCAAAAGGCAATTATGCTGAACTGCTGCACTTAGATCTCCTTTATTTAGATCAGCTTTTGCTTTCTGCATTTTCATTGCATTAACAATGATTCCCTCTCTATGCTTAACATTTTAATGGAAAACTAGAAAAGAAAATATGTATTTCATAATATATGACATTTTATATGAACAGATGAGTGTGTTTATATATATAGATACTCATACATTCCAATATAGAGTGAAGCCTTCAAATGGAAATGTTTTCTTACAAAGAACCTCTCTCTATTGCCCAGTCCATCAGAAAGCAACAGCAGCAAAATTTACAATGTAGGTTTCTTCACTAAAATTGTCTTGTATAAAATGTGGCAATAAGAAGTCCATCACTATATAGAGGTGTATATCTGCGTGTCACACACATCCATGACAAATGTTCATGTTAAACCAAATTTAGACAAACTGAAATGAGTCAATTCTTAAACTTGAAAAAGACAAAAAGCTACATCTATGGTAGGCACTTTGGTACATCTAGTAATGTAGGCATATTCTACATCTAGAATTAAGGTTCTGTCAGTATTCTTACAATAAAGCTAATTTCAGGAGTTCGTTATTCTGCTTTAAAATTCTTTCTTGGCTGAGACATCATCCTAGATTCTTAGCTAAATAATATACTTCGTCTGTCTAATTGCATACTTATCCAAGAATGAGGATGTTGGCTCTGAAAGAGCTGAACTGTTCTCTTGGATTCTTAATGCACATTTTTATAACAGTCTGAGAAAACTTACCAGAAAAACAAAAATCTGTTCTGAATTTAAAAAAAAAAATCCCTGTAATTCATAAAATGAGTTATGAGCTCAGCTGTTTAGGCTGATACTCTCCCTTCAACTCTCAACTGTCTACTTTTATCAGTTTGTGTTAATTGTATCTTGCAGCAGACTATGGCAATGCTTCAGTTAGAATGCCATTATTTCTCAAGAAACCTGTGTGGACCACTGAAGTGCATTTTTCCATGCACCTAACATACCAAGTAGTTGTGAAGCAACTGTAAGGACAGTCGGTTTCAACTCAGTTTCACACTTTCTTACCTACTGGTGTTCCATTTTAGTATTACAGAAGGTACAGCATAATATACTATTTAGTACAATATTGTATAATAAAAATAACATATGTCTTGTGTGTATGCCTACTATATGAACTTACATTGCAAGCTGATTTGTATACCTTATAAATCAGTGAAGCAAGAAAGTAAGGACCATTCTAAGTGGTTAGAGATTTTGTTTGTAATACAAAAAAAGATCCATGTCCTCATACCTTCAAAAAGTCACATGTCTAGTACTATATAGTACAGGAATAAATAACAAAATCCAGGTGAACCTGTGTAATAAAACTGTACTGTTTGTTTACTCCATTAAATGAAAACTCAAATCTAGAAACTGTCATTCATGGACCTCATCCTCTACTTATACAGTATTTATAGAATACTCATTTTTGTTTATAATATTCTATAGCATGATTTTCCAATAATACATTTATATATAAATATTAAAATGTTAATGTTTTGTACATTTTAAGCTAGCCACACTGGGCCAGAAACACAATAAAGTAAAAATGTTTTTCTGAAGTTTGTTTTTGAAGAATATCATAAAATGATTAAGACCATTGTGCTGCAAAGACAAAAGAGATTCATCTGAAGAAATTAACATGCATTTGGAAGAACATATCTATATCCTTTATCTCATTTTCTTCTGACTTCAAACCAGCATCAAACAATTATAAAAAAATAATATATATTTACATGGTACAGTATACCTTGGTGAGATATAAAACAAGGCAGGAAAACAGCAGAACATAAACTTTTCACTTTCTAACAGGTACAGCCATCATAAAGATCAACTTAAACACAAAGGCTACTTTACTGTACTATTGCACATTACAGTAACACATAAAATTGTTTAGCAAATTAAAATACAAAGTTTAACAATGAGAAAGGCTATGTCTACATAAAATGACCAAGTGTTATAAAATTATTGGGGATGTGTCTAAGAACTAAATCAGTAAAGCTATAAAAATAATATTGGTACATCTGTGAGAACACCCTTTAAAAATATATAAAGGTTGGCCAGATTGTGCGTGGAGAATTCCCAGTATCCATGGGCCTAACTTGCACCATGTGGCCTTGTACCATCTTCTGTTAAATCGTACCTGAAAATGAAAAAAACAAAGAATTTTTTTTACATTTAGCATGTATTATTAAAACTATTATTAACACACCAGTTACTAGTATGAAGTATTATCACTAATAAAGGAAATACTATACTTACCACTGGGTCCAGCCTTTAGCAAGTTCTTCAGATGCCAGAGGTATCAGTAACTGCGGAAAGTTAAATTAGGAATCAATGCATTATGTGTGCGTTTCATTCTATGTCTTTTAAAGATCAAATCTCACAATCCTGTATACTACAGCATAAGTAGTTGAACATGAGCCGGCAGTGTGCCCAGGTGGCCAAGAAGGCCAACAGCGTCCTGGCCTGTATCAGGAATAGTGTGGCCAGCAGGAGTAGGGAAGTGATCATGCCCCTGGACTTGGCACTGGTGAGGCCGCACCTTGAATCCTGTGCTCAGTTTTGGGCCCCTCACTACAAGAAGGATGTTGAGGTGCTGGAGCGTGTCCAGAGAAGGGCAACAAAGCTGGTGAGGGGTCTGGAGCACAAGTCTTCTGAGGAGCGTCTGAGGGAACTGGGGTTGTTCAGTCTGGAGAAGAGGAGGCTGAGAGGAGACCTTATCGCTCTCTACAACTACCTGAAAGGGGGTTGTGGCAACGAGGGTGTTGGTCTCTTCTCCCAAGTAACTAGTGATAGGACAAGAGGAAATGGCCTCAAGTTGCGCCAGGGGAGGGTTAGATTGGATATTAGGAAAAATTTCTTCACTGAGAGAGTGGTCAGGCATTGGAACAGGCTGCCCAGGGAGGTGGTAGAGTCGCCATCTCTGGAAGTGTTCAAAAAACGTGTGGATGTGGCGCTTCAGGACATGGTTTAGGGGACATGGTGGCGCTGGACTAATGGTTGGACTTGATGATCTTGAAGGTCCTTTCCAACCTAGTGATTCTGTGAAGTAATGCCACTAATAAACAATATATTTTACATCCTTGTCATCATAGCTGTCTGCTATCTGCCCAACTTTTAGTAAAGTTTCAAGTTGCTGTTTTTGACCTAAAAATCTATACCCTTTAACGATACGGTCCCAGAGCATCTCAAAGGCTTAAATTTTGAACACGGCATATCTTGGTAATGGCAATCAGCCAATGTGTTTATGCTAACAGCCTTCCTGGTAAACAGGAAAACTAAGAATACCATTCACCAGGAACTGACCATGATTCTGACACCTCTCATCCCCTTTACAGAGCTCAAACATGGCAATTTGCAAGGGCGTAGGAATTTACTATTCCTTTTTGCATGCTCCAAATCACATGTGTAGGAAATACGGTGATTTAATGAGTGCCTACAGAACACTGAAGTTGCAAATACCATAACTGGTCTTGGCATTGGGAAGGTCTCCAGTAGCAGTTCTTTCTCATGGATTTTACAATGTGGAATTTTAATTACTAAACATACATTTGTTCTGTGTGCTTCTCTAAGTACTCACGCTTGTCTTTCCAGTTTTGTCTGAACATTTCCTGAGATATTACCTGTTTTATACTGGTTATTTTCTTTCTCTGACTGCATGATTAGTAAGTCCGACATGCAGGTTTCTTTTGTTACTGCGAGCCTCAGTAGAACTTACCTTTCTCTAGGATTACTGCCTCATCTTCTGATGTCTGTCTCTGCAGTTTGTTCCTTCCCTTACTGAAGCTTGACATTTAAGCCCTCTATGATTTTTAAAAGCTTCATACCTGAATCAGATGCTTCAGTCAACACTAACACGCTCATACCACAAGAGGAGTTTAGTGTCACATAGTAACATGCTGTATTAACAGAATTTGCTTATTGTCAACTTACTTTTCCAAGCAACCCTTTATCTTTGGACAAGAAACCACCACTGTTCTTCACTGCTACATCTAGTGTTCTTCTCTGTACTTCAGGCAGGGAAACACTGAAATCAAATCTGACAGGCAAAGTGATGCTTTAGAGAGAATTTTGTACTTGAAGTGGAAGTTCAGTTCCTACAGCTAAACAACAATTCAAATCATAAACAAACGATACCCCTCCTCAAACAAAAAATGAGGTCTGAGATAAATGAAGAAAAAAATCCCCATGTTTTGCCTAAAATTTTTCTTCAATACTATGATCAATATCAACATCAAATGTTTGAGACTTCCATTACCTTTGGTCTCTAGAAGCCACTGGTAAAACAAAACAAACAAAACCCCAACCGAACAAAACAAAACAAGGAAAAGGTCAACCACTGACTCTACAGAGAAGAGAATGAGGAATCCTACTATATTGACAGCTCAGTATCACTGTTCTCCAAAAGGGAAAGACTGGTCAGTCTTACTGATCCTCGGTCCTTGAGAACCAGAGCTCCTTTTCTTTCTTGGCACACCAAGGAAACCTATCAACTTTAAAGGAAGAATGCATTGTTTGCTAGATCTGAAAGTTACAGAAAGTGCGGGCAAGATTATACCACAATCTACCTCTACTTGTCACTACAGTTCTTGAACAGCTTTATTGCTCTGCAATACATTTCACTTGGAAAGACACAGAAAAAGAAATTATTACCTGGAATAAACAGGAGATAGCTGCACTGTCAGGAATACCTACCAGAGCCTCTAGCTAATGATTTACAGATTTCCCTTGGACAGAATGGACTTACAGTGTTGTTTTCCCCAAATTAGCTTTCTGTCTGTAGAGAAAGGTCATCTTTATTGAAAAGTGATGGGTGGGGGAGGAAGGGGTACACGTGTGAGGGAAACAACCATCAAAAAGCTAAGTACAAAGATACGGATTTTTATGCCATATAATATTGCACAAGCTTGCACAACTTGCAACCCATGGGCCAGGATATAAACCTACAAAGAAATTTCCTGACTCCCTGGAAGATGAAAAGTGCTACCAAGTAGATTGACTGAGCAATTTGATAATGCATAGACACTGACCAGCCAGTCCTAGCGAGGAGGCAGCATCTATCAGCCAGGCAACTGGCCACTCGGAATCAACATGCTTCCTGGCAGAAAGGGATACCAACAGCACTGCCCAGCTAAAAGGCACTCAGGTTCTGATCAACTGCCAGAAGAGTGCAGACTGCTTCTTAGCTACCAGCACAAGGCAATGTAACTGACGGAGGATAAGGCAGAAAAGAAGAGAGAAGTGGCTGGTAACAGAGTAAGAAGGGCTATAGTGATAACAGGCAATACAAGGATGGGAAGAGCTATTATAGCAAAAGAGGAAGGTATGATCAAGTCTGATGGTGACAACTAAGAGTTTCAACAGCTCATCCATTCAGGTAAGCTGAGATACCTTGATTTGACAGCTTTGTAATTACATGATATAAAACTACTACACATAATTCAGAACATACATTTGATCAAACACTGGGTTTAATGTCTTCTTTGATACATGTGTTTTTCTTCTTCCTGATCGTCTCTTATCAGGCAATAAATACATTCGCACATATGGATCGGATCCTTCTTCTGAAAACGCTATTAGATTTCTGTGACCAGGAAAAAACAAGGAAAAACAAGGAAAAACACTTAGAAAATAAATGAGACATTGCTGAATGTAAGTGTCTACACTACTATCTCTTAATTTAGTACATGAATCAGTTGTGGGATATCCTGCACAAAGTATGATGCACAGGATACAGGACACAGATAACAGCAGTGGAAAAGAAAAATTAAAAAAAAAAAAAAAAAGCCAAGCAGTGACTCGTACAAGATCAGATAAATGCTGAGCAGACAGCAGAAGTAGGAATACAATGTTTCTTAAATTCCAATTCAAAGTTTAGAGGTGGCTTTCCAAAAATCATATGTTTTTGTCATTCCATGAAAAATTCAGTCTCTTAAGATATAGCTTTCAGATGCTGCTGATAAAAATCTACATGCCATTTTAACTTAAAATCTGACAGAGGCATAACAGACAAATACAAAACCACAGAAAAATCTTAAAGTTTTTACAGAGTGTAAGTACAGCTCTGTATGTTTTTGTATTTACACATAGTTACAATCAGTATGTTATTTTACAAGTAACAAAGATCACCCAGACAATCAATTTAAGAGGGTAAGTCCAGATGTGACAAAGTTTACAGAGAAATATGCACAGAAATGAAATTTGGTATTTTACACTCTTTTTTTTAGGAATGCACTACCACAATCAGTTTGTTTCTTTGTGAACTATGACGAATTGTTAGCTGAATCTGTCCTAACGGAGACTGCCCCAGAGTTGTTCCACTGCAAGAAAAAGTAGAACAGTACACTTGGTTTTTAAAACGCATACTTAAAGTAAGACCTAACAGAAGTACATGCGGAGTAGTTTTCCCAGAAATCATGTATTATCCATTAAACTTTTCACTAGACCAAATGTAAAAGCAGCATATCTTCAACAGTTTCTTGTACTTCAGTTCCTTGTTCAAGAGCTCTACTCTCCAAAATAAGCGAGGTAGTCTTGTCAGTTTAGAGGTCAGCTGCTCTTCAGCACTCTGGAAACCATTATCAGTAAAGAACTTGGTTACCCTAAAATAAACATTAAAGCAGTACCTAAGAAATTGGAAAGAATAATGGTGCAAACTGCAATGAAAACCTCAGTGACAGGCCACTCTTACCTATGACCAGGAACCAGTTAGAAGACCAGCTCATTCTTCTCTAAATTCTCTAATGCAGAAATATAGATATTCTTGGGATTAAAAGAGTGATAAACTCATTTATTGTCTTAAAAGCTAAAAGCACAGTATAAACACAGCCATTTTATTTTTCTGTAGCTCATGCCACATTGAAAATAAGATTAGAATCAATTTACACTTAAAAATACAGCTCATGCTTAAATAAAAAGCAAGCACCATGTTTAAGAATTTCTGTTTTAAAGAATGACAAATATTTGCAGAGTTCCCTCATTCTCTATGAAATGCTTATTTTAGTTTGTGTGAACTGCCTATGAGTATTTTCTGTTTCACACAGGACAGTATATGGCATGCTTGGCATTTCTCAATCACATGAAGGATATCTTAACTTCAAGGAAGAGTCATGCCTCTTTTGTGAACAGCTGCTACAAAGTGATTGCTCCATTAAAATTCCTAAGTCATTCACTTTAGAAAAGAAGCTTTTCATTTCAGTATTTTCTTAGTTACAATAAAATAAAATAAAAATCAGAGCACCTAAAAACATGGGGCCTGCAATAAAGGACCTTCTTAGCTGTAGCTTTACCACTCTTATCAAATGAGAAAGTTTGAAATTTGTGTATTAGTATTTCAACATTCATCATAGTTAACAAAGTTTAACCCAGTTTTGTGCCAGAAGGGATAAACTGAAAATAAGACAGCAGAGAACCATAGAGATAAATGGGGGACTGGAGCACATGAGTAGATGGTGAAGGAAATGGGTTTGTACAAATTGAAGAGAATGTCAACAGCAGATTCCATTGCAGTCTTTCACTACTTAAAACAGACATTATAGAGAAGATTGAGTCAGACTCCTTGTGGTTGTGCGCAGTAAAAGAACAAGAGGCCAAAGTCAAGTTGCAGCAAGATAAATTCCAATTGGAAATAAGGAAAAAACATCTTCACAGTGGAGTGGTTAAGCACTGGAATTGCTGAGAAAGTTTATAGGACCTCCATCCTTGAAGATTCAAAACTTGTTTGGATAAGGCCCAAGAAACCTGATCTAACTTTCAAGTGAGATTTGCTTTGAGCAGAGGGCTGACAGACCTCCAGAGGTTCCTTCCAACCTATATTACTGTATTGATTCTTTGAACTCTGATAAGAGAAAAAGAGGAATTGGTTCAATCCCTTACAAATAAAATATTAAAATCTTTCTATGTAGCTTTACAGAGAAGCTACATGAATAGGGAATTGATTTCCATTCTCCTATTCAGAGCAGAATGGCTGCTCAGCTATCTTTACTGGTAAGTACAGCTGCCCATTGAGAGAAGTAAAAAAAAAATAAAAAATAGAGAATTTAAGAAAGCATGGCTGCAGCATGCAGCGTATGATCACCCGGCCCCACTTCTGCTTAAGCAATAACCACCAGCGGCAGTTGTAATGGCTGCATCTGGCTTAAGTAGGACTCTAGGGAGACAGTTAACAACACAATAGTTAAGTGCTATCTTGTGCAATAACCCAGACATCTTGCTCACAGCTGAGGGCTAGTTGAGCATGTACCAACTGAAATATGCAAATATGACTATGAGTCAATCAGCTTACTCTGTAAGCAGGGGACAGCCCAGAGCTTGTAGAGCTCTCCTGCATGGCAGCAGGCTGCACACCATGATGCCTCTCAAGGTTACTCCTTAAGGTTAGGAGGAGTAATGTCAGCTACTCGGTAAGTGACATGGCAATAAGCGCACTGAAAATTTGTAATCGTAGCTAAGTGATATAAATGACTAAGAGTGTGTGTGTGTGTGTGTGTATATATAATCCTACAGACATAAACTGTTGACCAAGTCTGGGACTAAGTCTGGATCCAGCTGCACCTAGACTCCTCTCTGAGGAAGAGTTTAGAATGCAAGAGGGTCCTCTCTGAACCTTGTGACTCAACAGGAGGGGCTCCCTAACAGTTTTATCTGACCCTTTCCTCCATGCAGTAAATAATAAAGTGTACCTTGCCATCGAATTTTGTTAAACCACTGTCACATTTACCATTGAACTTTGTTAACTCACTGTCTTACATCAATAAAACATATCGCTGCTTCTCTCTTGCGAGTGAAGTGTATTTCCACAACATAACTGACTATTCATTTAACATTGTTTATAATCAACTATCCCTCTGAGTATTTTAAAAGACCAGCTATATTCAGCTTAATAATAATGCCAGTCGGATTCAGTGGGGAAACAGACAACTATTGCCATGAAAGTCATTAATGTTGTATGGAAAAATATCCCCCCCTCTTGCCATCCCACTCTTTTTAGCACTGCACAGTGTAGCTATGAGAACAAGGTGAACTTTATGATGATTGCAATGGTAAAGTAACTTCTAACTGCAGAAACTGTCCGAGGTACCAGGAGGAAGCAGAAAATCACAATGACTGACTTTCAAATACCAGGCTCAAACTGCAACAGGAAAAAATATTACTGAAGTGCAAACTAAGCACTCTTTCATTGGCTGCACTGATGACATTTTTTATAAGTCAGCTTAGATATATTGCAAAAACAAGTAATTATCACCATACTTTTCAAGCTGTCGTAGTCTTTGCCGTAGCTCCTGTGTGGCAATAGGCAGAGATATGTCTGAGGCTATGCTAGGAGTGGGTTCTTTGACTGAGAGGTGGCTGGGAGAATAAGAGAAGTTGGAGGCATGAAGACTGGAGGAACTTCGGCTGAGATCTGTTGGCCACTGAGGGCTGGCATTGGGAGGCTGACTTTTTTCAGCTGTATCAGTCTTTTTATCACTATCAGTCACTGGGGAAGCTGGGACAGGTTTGTTTGAATCAGGTGGTGGTGAGACAGGAACCTGAGGCTTAAAAGATGATTTTCTGGCATCTTTGGAAAGAGATGGCCTTTTCACTTGGGCTGAGTGTTGATGATCTGGAGATCTTGCTTGCTTTTCAAGAGAAAGGACCTATAGTTTTTAAATAATAAATAAAAATAATTAAATTATTAAATATTACTATTTTCCAATACAAAAGACAGGATCAAATTTGTTTCTGCAAGAGTTCTGGTTGGTGACAAGTTGTTAAGTTCAGACACTAATGCAAAACCGAAAGTATTCACACTACAACAGGAAACCTTTTGCACAGCAAAACACAGCTCCATCTTCTTTGCGGCAACTACAGTAACTATAAAATAATGTGAAATTCTCCATTCATTTAGAATTATTCTTATTATCCCCTTCCCATACTCTACACATCTGGTGCAACTGCTATTTACTTCGCAGCTCTAGTCACCTGGAAAGCTATTATATAATTTTTTTTCTTCTCATCTTTTGAAATTTAATCCTATATCACAAGTTCTTCTCACTCATTGTCCTTACTTTCGCTTTTACAGGTTATTTTCATTTATTAATGACAAGTAAGCAAGTGCTTTAGAAAAGAACAAGTAACAGAAGTTAACATAAGTTTGACAGTGTTTGCAAAGAGATACACTACCTTATTAAACCAAATAATTTATCTGGGAAAAAAGACAAACCAACTTTGAGGCATGCAAGTCTTGTCTTCAAAACTTCAATGTGCTTGAAAGTTGGTCTGAATTATTCTAGTACTATCAAGGTACTTCCTTTCCCTATAAACTTTATTCTTTTTAAACCATCATGACCTCATTTCTATTTCTATTAAGAAAGTTGATTTCACTGATCTGTAGCCTACTGAGTCATAAGACACTTGAAAGAATTCAGATTCCAAACATGAATCCCGAACATAAAACCACAGGGAACCTCAGTCTTAATTAATGCAGCTGACTACTGTTTTGTTCAGAGAATTTTCTGTTTTTGAAATAGAATGTGTTTAAATTAGAGGTTATCTGTGTACTTGATAGCACTGCCACAACTAAGGACACCTGGCATTGTGACACCCAAGGAAATTCATTCTTCTTCATAAAGCTAGAAGACCAGAAGTCCCAATAGTCTTAAAGATGCTTTCAGGTATTTACAATGGGAAAAGTTTTAGAGTACCCTGAGTGCAATCTTCATGTTTATAGTGCTGTTTGGACCAGAATTGCTCAGGTGGAACCGCTGATGCATAGTCAAATCTTCACTCTCCAGCAACTGGCTTAGAGGCAGTTTGAAGTTCCCCAAAGAACACTGATGCTGTTCATCCCTCACCTGAAAGAACACAGAAGCAAAATCATTTTTTATCATTTTGCTTTGTAAGAATTCAGAGAAAGAAAAGGAAATTATAGTTTTATTTAAAAACAAAAAATCCAAACAATATCTAGTGTAGTTTGTTCTGAAATCAAAGTTCCCTGATCATAAGATTACTTTACACTGAAGAAGGAAATAGCAAATTGTCCTGGTTTCAGGTGGGATCGAGTTAATTTTCTTCATGGAAGCCAGTATGAGGCTATGTTTTGGATGTGGGATGAAAAAATGTTGGTAACATACTGATGTTTTTAGTTGTTGCTAAGCAGTCAAGGACTTTTCAGCTGCTCATGCTCTGGTCTGCCGGCAAGAAGTTGGGGGTGCTTGGGAACCTGGGAAGAGGCACAGCCAGGATCACTGACCCCAACTGGCCAAAGGGATATTCCATACCATACAACGTCATGCTCAGTATATAAACTGGGTGAGCTGGCCAGTGAGGGGCCACAGCTCAGTCAGCGCGTGGTGAGCAACTGTGCTGTACATCACTTGCTTTGTATATTCTTTTATCTTTTTTTTTTTTCCTGTCCTATTAAACTGTTTTTATCTCAACCCATGAGTTCTACCCTTTTTCTTTTCCAATGAGAGAGGAAACAAACCAGCCATACATAACAGCAATTTCTGCTAGCAGTTAAGACTGTTAAGTTTTGAAACAGGTATCAAAATTTACGTTTTTTCCTTTCTTTTTTTTTTTTTTTTTTTTTAAGACAACCATCAACTATATTCTTCTCGTGAGAGATTGGTTATAGTCTTTCTTCCTTTTAGTAACAAATGCAAATAAACATTTCATAGCCTGGTCTTAAAAACCACTTAAAGTGTAATTTTAATGGTGTTCACAATATATTCAGTTTCATTTCGTAACATCCTGTAATGTCTGAATGTTACTACTGAAATGTCTTAGAAAAGAAGGGTATCTAAAGAGAGTGAGACAACGTACCTCAACTTCAAGATCTTGTCTTTTGGGATTGTGTACAAAGAAAGTAAAGTTTTCCTCCCATACTGGTTCATTGGTCTTGTATCGAATCTACAGTTAGAGAACAGGAAGCATACAAATTATAAAACATTTTTGTCTAATAAAGCCAGTGTCAAGAGTCGAGTACATTTTTCCTTTTGGCTTTGCAAAATTCATGTCTGAAACCTGATATATTTAAACAAAGGCCAAGTGGGATCTGCCCAAGGCATATATAATATCACATATAAAATTATACACGGGACATGTAATAGATTATCTTTGCATTGAAGTTGCTGTACGTAAAGTAAGACTCCTGCTAAAGAACCTTTACTTCACACCAGTCTATGAACAAATGCAACGTCTTCAGACTGGTGCATTATCTCTCTTTTCAAACTTCCCTGTAAGGGCTGAGCTAACTCAACGAAACTCCTAGAAAATAGCATTTTTCCTTCTAATCTCCAAGTAGCCATGTGGAAGATTTCACTGCCAAATCTCACTACTTTCAGCAACCCACTCATTGGGGGTGTGGGGTATGTGTAGAAAAAAGTGCTCATTAAAAAAAAAACCAAACAACTATCTCCAGGAACAAAGGACTTGAATTTCTGTCTCCATTCTCTAATAAGTATCAAAACGAAGACTGTACATAAGACATAGTTTAGGCTTCATGACCACTTTTGACAGGATATGAAGAAGCCAAATTAGTTGTCCTCTCCTTTTGGCTCACTGATACTTTTACTTAAAAAAAAAAAACAACCAAACAAAAAAACCTGCCACACACACATTGCATATATCTACCTATCTAGGTATTACATCACTGTTGCTGTTTTATTTTAAAGAGCTCTTGAAATGCACAGAGGTTAATTATGGACAAGATGACAGGTACATTGAATGCCTTGGGTCAAAATCACCCATCAAGGTGATTGGGATCACCATCAAGATCGACATCATGGCAGGCACCTGTTACAGACCACCTGAGATGGATGATGACTTCTTCAGACAACTCAAAGCTGCCTCAGGTCTGCAGAACCAGATTCTTGCCGGGAGCATCAACTACTGTAATGTTTTCTAAGAAGGCAGCACAGTGGTGCACAAGCAGTTTAAGAGTTTGTGCTAGGAAAACACACACTGTTGTGTTAGGTTGCTCTCAATCACTGGATGTGTTGGCTAGGAGTGGTGTTTTTCTGAATCTGCTACTTACAGATGAAGAATATTAGTTTGCAGATGTGACTGTCAACAGCAGCCTTGGCTACAGTGACCGTAAGATCACAGAGCTTAAGACCTTAAGGGGCATGAGGAAAATAAATAGCAGAATAAAAGCCTTGGACTTGTGGAAAAGCAGGTATCAGCTTGCTCTAGGAACTGTTAGAAGGGATTCCATGAATGTCTACCTTGGCGGGCAAAGGAGCTCAGGAGTGCTAGAGGACAGCCATCTCAAAAGCACAGAAGTGGTCCATACCTCAAAGCAGAAAAAGTGTCAGACAACAAAGTAGCCTAGCTAAACTATGATCTCCTGAGAGCTGCACAGCACTTTGACTGATCTAAAACCCTACTTTAAACAGAAAGTTTAAGCAGATGATCTTCAGTGGTCCCTTTTGACCCGGGCATTTCTCTGTGATTCTGTAAATTTTCAAATCTTCATCTGTTTTGAAGCCTGCTGTTTGCCAACATCATTATTTATATAATCACTACTGTAGGAATCCCAGCTGCAGATCAGAACCTACTGTGGAAGGACATCTACAAAGTCTGACCTCTACTCACAGACAGTTTAAATTGAGTAAGCACCCATTCAATCCTTGACTTCTTGTAGGCAATTTCAGTTCTGGTGGTAACTTTTTAGTGCAGTGGATACACTCAATGGCTTGATAGAAAATGCCAAGCACACAGAGCCACCAAATGTTTGTAGACAGAGCGAAGTGTAAAGAGTAGGAACTTACCTTACTTTCCTGTGCCTTGTGCCCAACTGACAGCAAAACAAGTGGGTTGGGATTGCTGTTTATTTTCTTTCCTGACTGGTAAAGAAAAAGCAAAAACTTTGCCTTCAGAATAAAGCAAAACCTCTGTCCTTTGAAATGTAAATGTTTGCACCTTAAAAATACAAATCATATGCATCCTACTATATGCTTATCCATTATTCTCAGTATTTTATTCAACAGGCTTGAATGGCAGACTGGCTAGTAACTGGTGAACTCATTAACATGAAGGCATCCAACTACCCTAAAAATGCTGAAGCAAAAAGGCTACAAATAAGCAGGAGTTTTAGACTCCTTTCCGTTTTCTTTGAATGAAATTAGTAAGTGCAAATTCCTATCCTTTAATGAGCACTACAATCCCCAAAGCTAATGAAGCATAGTTAAAACTGCAAAATGAATATTGCATGCAGATGGGACACATGGAAAATGCACAAACTCAGGAAGCTTACTTCATTTACCTTGCAGTAGTATTATTAAATTGGATGTAGTATCAGAACATGAATTATTCCCCCCTTTTCAGTTTGGGGAGACAGAAGATGCACTACAATGTACCTGATGTATATTTCTACAGTTTACCAGATACTCTTTATTAGAGAATCAACCATCTGCCATATCTGAGCCTTGCTCACCAGCTGTATAGCATTACATCAAACTGTGAAAATAAACACCAGTTTAGAAACAAATTGTATTCACACAGGAACATTCCCAACTGCATGTTTCATTCACGAATTTTAAATTAACCTAACAAAAATTTAAGTCAGAAAGAAAAGTTAGACATGAAAGTTAATCATCTCAAGCAGGTGTTAATGCAGTTTAAAAGGCCTAAGAAATATAGTATACATGGTTAATAATATGCTTTCAAGTCTACCATGTGGGGAATTGTACAGATCAGGTATGTAAACAGAAAGTTAGTTAAAATCTACTTAATGCATGTAAGGTCACAATTACAGCCAGGTGATTAAAATATCTTGTATTTTTAAATTAAGAATGTGCATAAATTAGGTATTTTTGGAACTGAACTTACATTTTGGACATCATACTTTCACTAATATTACTTGAATTTAATGTGACACACTGCTTATAACCATACTTTCCTTTAGAAAAAAAGCTGTTAAGAAAGCACTCCTTTCTTGGATGAATGCCGCATTTCCCTTTTTATGATTTCTAATCGAAAATATTTAGCTCTTGTCAAAAACAACAGAATACAAAGGTTTAAGGAACAGAAAGTCAGATTACACTCCAACTGACGGTATTTAAAAACGGTAGGTGAAATTTGTTTCATTTTTTCTTTATCCATATAAAGGTGCTTGAAACTCTCTTTTCTTCATGAAACGATGAAACTACTGAAGTTCACAAAAAGACCCTGTTGCTTATGCTGATATGTAACTAGAAATAATTCTAATTCATGCTAAATAGACAGCAATATGTACACACACGTATAACGCACCTCTAACACCTGCCACTGACAGATTTGCTGTTCACAGTCTAATTAGAGACTGCCTCTTCTCCAAGTTCCTCCAGCTGAGAACTTGGCTTATGCCTTCCAAGTTTGCCTCTCAACTCTATGTCTTCCATATCAAAAAGCTGGGCTAAATTTATCATTTATATAAAAGAAGTAAAGCCTTCTAAAAACATCTAGCAGAAACAAGATTATTTCAAAACATGTCAGAGACTTATTTTATCGGTTAATCATTCAGAGTTGACTAATAAAGTATCACTCAGTATGTAAAAGATGTCTTAGCTTTCATGTCAGCTTTGTTCTTTAGTTATGACTTCAAATTAGTTCTCAGGACTACTTTTTTTTTTACCCAGTCTATACTCAACTCAGCTGATCTAAAATTCAAATTACCACAAACCACAGTATTTTACCAATGTCTTGACCACTTCTTGAAAACAAATTTAAGTAAAATGGAAAAATACATATAGATATCTGGCAACAGAAATCCCATCCACTGCTGGAAGAGAAATGTTGCAGGCATTTGTGCATTTCCAATTACTTTTGTGACCTTAAATGGACAACTATATTAATTTTACCTTTAGGGCTTTCTGAACAGCAGCTTTCTTCAAGCCATCAGGGTTAAATTCTAATGGATTATGCTTTTAAGTCAGGAGAGAATGAACATATGAAGGGTTAATAAGTCATGCAATGAAGCAACTTCACTAGGTTAACTAATTATGACATGACAACATAGGACAAAGCAGGAAAAAAAAAAAATCAACCCAAAAACCCTCCAAAAATCTTTCAAATGAAACAATGAAGGAACCACAACAACAAAAAAAGGCTGACAAAACTTTTTTTCCCCAGTTGTCCTCTCCGAATGTTTGTATTCTGCTTTAAAACTAATACACTCACTTTCAGTCCACTTGTATTTCTCCTACCAGTTTTTTTTTACCATAGCAAAGAAACTACACAAAATAGGTTTTATTGAATGCCTGGTGTCCTATGGACTGCTGTCTGAACGAACCTTTTTTAAATTTGGTTAAGTACATTTTCACAACATAGAAGCTTCACTGGTAAGTCAAGTAATTATATGCAAGATTCCTTTTATGAAAGAAATTACTATGCTGAAAGTATTGATCATTATAAAAATCTAAGTCCTTTGAGCCTCTTCAGCAGATGAATGATACAAACACTGCATGCTAACTAGAATGAAGGTCTACTACTTTACTCAGTTGAAGGAGGACATGCAAATACACTAGCAATAGGAATTTGAACTCATTTAGCAGGACAAAACCTCTGACTGCTTTCCATTAATTAAGCAAATTTTTAAATTTTATTTTAAGAATAATGTATTGTTCTTGTAGTGACACATGTGAACTACAAAAATGTTACAGAAAATTTGCATTCAACTCATAAGAAATAATTTCAGGAAATAGTATTTTGAAATAAAACAGACTTCATGTTAGTACACTTATGGCTGGCTTTTTCTTGAAGCACAAATTTTTGTTTCAAGGGAGAATTCTGCTTTAAAAACTGTAATATGTGGCAACAAAAAATTGCATAATGGTCTTTTTAAACATGCTTGTTTATGAACAGGAAATGATACTATTAATGCTCTGCCAAAAGAAATGCCTTCCCAAAATTCAAATCCAAAAGCAACTAACATTTAAAGAGAGATTTAACCTTTGCGCAGAAATACTTTTTTACATTTTCTTTCAGAATGTCAGATCCTGAAGTTGGCCAGTATTTTGATGAGATTCCTGGCACTCAGGTTTAAAATTTCTATGTCAGAATGAACATCCAATATGATGAAACTGGAGAAAACCAGAAATAAGGTGTGGCTGGTTTTGGTGGGATTTTTTTAACCGTTATTTTTCTTAAAATAAAATTAAGGAGTCTTCCACAGCTATTTATTTGTTAGGGACTTATTATTGTACTGAAAGACCTTCAAAGATGGACACTGCACAATATCTGGCATTGGAACAGGCTGCCCAGGGAGGTGATGGAGTCGCCATCTCTGGAAGTGTTCAAAAAACGTGTGGATGTTTTGGGACATGAAACGTGGGCGCTTCAGGACATGGTTTACGGGATGTGGTGGCGCTGGATTAATGGTTGGACTTGATGATCTGAAGGTCCTTTCCAACCTTAGTGATTCTGTGATCTCTAGACATATCAATCCTAAAGTTTGTCTATCGATTTCATTAGAAACTTTTATAATGCCCAACAGGTATGTTCCTTGCTGGAGTTTAAGCACTATTTCTTGTTTTCTGAGAAACATTAAAAAGTCACTTTCTTTGCAGCAGCCTTGTATCATTTCCATGCCCATCTTTACTTCTTAAGGCTAAACTCATCCTAGCTACCCTTCCTCTGCTAGCCACGTTTACTGGCTTTCTCATTATCATCACTTGTGTCCTCCAGATCTTAAACTGCTACGGCGAAAATCAGGGCCTTAGTAATGGCCAAGTACAACAGAAGGTCTTACAGGCTACATTCCTCTTTCTATACACAGTATGGTGTCCATCTTTCATAACAGTGTGATACAGCATGACTACAGATCATTTATGTCAAGCTATCCATTAGACAACTATTTCCATTGCATATTTATATGGGTGCAATGACCATCCTCTGTGGGAAAGCACCTTATTTTTTTCAGATCATATCTGCAATTCATCAAGATTATTTTGAACCTTAAACTGCCCCTCACCTTACTGGCCATCTTTCCTCCACATTTGCACCTGCTTATTCAGTACACATCTTTTTTTCCCCCTATATTATTATTCCAAAGAATTTTAAGAGTCAAAAACAAACCTACTTGATCAATTATAAAGGCAGGCAACCAATGATTCCTGGATATTGAACATATCTCAATTCCTCTGGAATCATAGCACGGATAGGCCAAGAGGGATATCAGCTGGGGCAAATATGTTTAAGTCAGACTTCAGGTTTCAAGGGAAGGAGCTGCAGGTCCATGAGGATGGTTGTTGAAAGGCTGGGAGAAGAAAACTGAGTATTCAGTATAAAAAGCCAAGAAAGGCTCTTGCCTTGGGTGACAAAATTGTGTTGCTATGGTTCTGAGTCTCTCTGCAGTTACAGGAAAAGGGGACGGGTATCCAAGAACTTAATTGCTAACAGACACAGTGGAATAAAGCAAGTTTCAGGCTAGTATTCTGTAACAGCCAGTGACATTTGCAGGAAATCCTAATAACAAACCCGTAAATTACACTGTAACTGACGAGCTGTTTTGTTATTAAGCCAGATCCTAATTCAGTATGCTTTGGAGTGCGAATCATTACTTCTTTTGACTCACTAAGTCTTTCCTGGGGTTAAAATGGGGCTTTAGAAGTTTCTGAATCTGTGAGTGCATCCTCAGTTGATGACCAGAAGAGAGTCACTGATCTGTAAGAGCTGTTTTAAAATATGGATAATTTGTATGTTATATAGATGCCAAATTAAACAAAATAAATTGCTATGAGCTAATGATAACATGTTATTAAACTAGTGTTACTCAGTTTCTGAAATTATACTAAGTAGAAGTCTGAATTAGGTCTCTCCTCTCTCCTGGCTTCCAGCCACAAAATCTTGTCCTCTTGCTTGCTGCAAGACTAGCATCCATGCAAGTGCACAACAAGGCAGTTAACAGTGCTGTTGAAGGAAATCCAAACCTGGCTATCTTAAAATGGTTGCTGTTCCACTCTGACTCACAAATTGCTTCAGGGATTTGGAAAGTTTTGTCCAATGTCTAAATAGATGCTGTTACAAGCAGACGACAAGTCCTAATGCAAAGACCCTAAGATCAATAACAACATCAGGGCTACACTCTTTATCAAACATTTTGATATTTTAAAAATTATTTTTAGGATGTATCTAGTATTTTTATAACTAAAAGGAACAGCAACTACTTATCAGTTTTAATACCAAGATAACTGAACCATAGCTTATGAACTGCATTTCTTATTCATAAAATTTTAACAAGATTTGTTAATGGATGTAACTTTTTTTGATACTTTAAAACTAACCTCTACACAAAAACTAATGGAAAAGACCACAGAAAATGGTTTTGTTGGGATTTGGGTGGAGTGGGTCTGTTTAAATCAAAGTTTATTATATAAGCCAAAAGGAGCCAGCCAGCAACAAATTTATCTTAACAATGGCATACCCACTGCTCTATGGCATAAGAGTTCCTATTCGGAAGAGATTCCCATTCTTTTTGAAGATACCAAGGTTGTGTTTACAGATTTAAGTGTAGGATATTCACAGGCTCATTAGTTTGTAACTAACATTCTTGTAAAATTAAATTCAAGCAAAAAATATTAATTAGCCGTTCTTCCTGGCCTGGATTTTCCTAACTACAGACTAACTTGAAAAAAGAAAAGGAGCTTGGGAATTTGCAAAACAAGGAGCACCATGGAGTGAAATAGAATTTACAAGGGAATTTATAGTTTGGGGAGTGCAAAGAACCACACCCATTTTTAAAGCAGTACTTGAACCAGTGTGGAGAGGTTGCAAGTTCTTACAAACATTGAGCGCATCACCTTGTAAAGAAACTGCAGGGATGTTGGTTGTAATATTTATTAGTTTAATTTCTTTGCAATAAAAGCCAATAATTCACCAGCACGCAGTGTGCTAGTATAGTATGCATTTTATTTCTCAATGAATCGGCAATTTAAGTTAAATGTAAGAGCTTTTACAACAAACTTATCTTGGGTTTTTATCATAAAAAGTTAATTACTTACCCAATGATATGCTGATCAATGAAATTTAAGTAGCCTTTAAAATGCAATAAAAATAGCACAAAAACAATGCACACTTGTTGAAACCATGCAGCAAAACAAATTGCATGCTCTCATTCCACTAGAGTGAGTGGCTTTAGTAGCACTAATCCACACTCTGGCAGATAAAAGGTACAATACAAATAATACCAGAGAACTCACAAATAGTGCTCTATAGAGTGAGGTAGTGTTTTCACAAAAGACTAGTCCCGATGCTCTCCTCTCTTTTAAGTATCCACACCCAAAGTTTCCCTCGTAGATACTCTTAGGAAGATGGAAATGGAAGGAGAAAGCAGAGTGATGGGATTGTGGCAGTATGAATGCATAAGCAGCTTTACTACACAAAAAAGTTAAGGAAAACAGTCAAAGGATTCCAGAGAAAACAGTAGATAACAAACAGTAAGTAAGTATTTGTCATTACAAATAGTTTCATCTGTTAAATTACTTTCTGTAGTGCAGCAAGGTGAGAAGTATTTTGATTTTTATTTTTTATTTATTATTCAAATATATTAGCCCACTTTCCAAGTTTACTCTAGGTAGTTCAGATTTATATGGCAGATCCAACTAAGAAAATTGAGAGACCAGCCTTCTACACCGTTTCTATTCCACCTGAAACATATTTCAGACAAATATCCCAATGTCTCAGCAACCCACAACTGTGATGCATCTATGCAAAAGAAATGCCTGTGCTGGGGATTATCCACTATAACTCAAAAAAACAAGGCTGATGCCAAGACCTAAAATGTACCCCTGATCAGCATTAAGAAATCCATTTTGAATATAATAAAAAGTACACATTCATCTAGAAAATATTTCATAACAGTAAAGTTTTGGACAAAAGTCTTCAAAACTATTAATAAAGCTCAGTGTAATTTTAACAGACTTCATTCTCTTTGAACTTTTTGTTCCCCATAAATACATGCAATTCAAAAGACCGATTAATTTTGCTATTATGTTACATGACCCCTATCAGTGACACAACACAAGAAACTAGCCTTGTCTGGCTCATGTTTAGCCTTGTAAAAGTTGTTCCATATTAGAATGAAATGGACATAAAAAAAAAGCTGTATTCACTATAACTCACTGCAGTTTGTCTAGCAGCTCCATGACAGTATTGAAGCATTGTCTTTGTAGATTCTATAGGAATGTTTTCAGTTCTCCCACATGAAGAAGTCTTCCCATGCTATTTTTCCACCCACCTAACTGAAGCCTTTTTGTGTCTGGTTTTGGACAACTTGAATTTAACACAGTATTGTATTATTTTATCACTGTAAACTTGTCAAATGAATTTTACAGGTGTTCAATGTTACTTTCTATCACAGTCTTTTAAGTTATTTCTTTCCAGAAATATGTTATAATTTAAATACGGAGTCATTTGTAGCAACTGCTTTTCTAGGCTGGTAGAGCAAGACAAAGAAAAAAAAAAAAAAAAGAAGAGGGTTAAACAGGTCCTACGCTATGACCATCCTCAGTCTCAACCCATCCAGGCAATCTTATACTGTATAGACAGAACATCAGACACAGCAGTAAGAAATTTGGGATCCTGTTCCCAAATTTCCTAACAGGTCAGCTTTGTGCAAGGATCTTACCCTTTCTGTGCTCTACAGTTTAGAGATCTACTGATTAAGAGATCAAAATTAAAACACTGTCCTGTAAAGCAGGCAGAACGCAAGATTTGCAGCCTAACCTTTCTGAAGGAGGGAGACAATGTTACAGAATGTTTGTTTAAAACAGGAACAGAAAAAACTAGACCTATGACAAAGCCTCTGAGTATTTGCTGGAGAAGCTAATCTAATATAGAGAAGCAGGGAAATACGGAAAAAAAATTGGAAATTGTGGATGAGAGAACTTTATTCATTTTAAGTAAGAGGCTTTAGGGTATTTTAACAAATATATTAAACTTGTAACAGTTTAAGTAAAATCTAGTAGTTGAACAAGAAAATAAAATGGGTTGAATTTAATCTAGTGCACAAAACAGATGGCAGATAAACTTTTTCTGTGTGCTGCAGTATTCTGAAACTGATGTCAAGCACACCAGAATTCTACTGTATTTCTGCTTCCTCTGTACTACAGTAATTTTACTCTTTTTCTGCTAAGTTACAGAGTTTCCCTAAACTCAGTACAGTGAGGTTAAAAAGGGAATGCAGGACTCTATTCCAAATGAGCTACATCTTTTCAGCTTTTAAAATAACCTATAAATACTACTTCCAAACTCTGCTCTATACACCCTGGAGCAGGCATGAACTCACTAGTCAGTGATGTAAATTGCTTAGGCTACTAAGCTTTCATTTGTCACTACTCTCTTTGATGTGTCATTTTAACTTAAATTTGAGTGGACAAATTAGCAAAATGCATTAAAAAAGTCTGGCTTGAAAACTTTATTCTCTGATTAGTGTTTTGGTCATCACTTCCAGAATTCCTCCTCTAATAGCAATGCTGAAAAACAGCAAAACTCAGTGTTATGCTTCGCATATCTATTTATGGTAGGGTTTACTTTATTACTGCTGTAATTTACAACCAGGAACAGTACTTTACTAACCTTAAGTAAACTACAAAACAATCTGTGCTTATCATAAACAATGTATTTCACAGTCCCATGCATGTAATGGCAGAACCATTGATTTTTATGTTTTTTATGTTGTGCACAAGCAAATAAAAAATACTTCAAATGACAACCTGACAGAAATCTCATACAAGTTTTCTGCCACTGTAACATCAACTGCACAGTATTAATTTCATGATGAAAACTTCAGTACCTTCAAATCTACCACAGATACCCTAAACCAAAGCAAGCAAGTTTTCCTGAACTCAAGGAAGTGGGCCTTTTCCCAGTTAGTTCCTTAAAACTCCTCATGCTAATCCCATACTATTTATGGAAAACACTGTAATAAAAACATGCAGTCTTTCAAGTCCAGGAAAGGAGCATTCTTTAAAGAAAAATTACACTGATTAGGGAGTAATGTTTTATTAAATATATATCTATAATACTATACTACTAGAAACGCGGACCTTACATTACATGTTTTGAAACAAGAGAAAGTATAGAAAACATGGCATAATGTGTGTTAGTAAAGCAGTGTGTCATACTACCAAGCAAGACATGCTGGAAGCACACAAGAGTACCCATACCCCATCAGAATATAACTTACGGGCAGGTTTCTTGCTGAGTCCAAATAGAGAATAAGCAATGCAGAAGACAGCCCATCATTGGCTTGGTCTTTATCAGCTCTAATGCTTGTTAGCACCTAAACCAAAAACAAGCCTTTCTGAAAATCAATTATTATTATTTCTGTCCCATTCCTGAAAAATATTTTTAAAACATCTCCCAAAACACAAACATTCACAAATGCACACTATGTAGCATAAGAAGTAAGTTTTCAAGACTCATATAGGTATTTCAAACCCATTTTTATGGAAATTTCCACCCAATTTCCTAATTATTTTTTTTTAGGCTGAACAGATTACAATATCATATTCAGCTTTATCTCCCAGGCTAATGAAATGTTAGCTGATATTCTCAAACCATAACATTAAGAGGATGACGAAAGTATTTTAAAATATCTCATGCCACAAGAGTACATTGACAGTTATGACTGGTTTGAGATTTCTAAAGACAAACAGCTTGGAATAAAGTTACAGGTTTATTCAAATCCACAACAGCTAGAGAATTAAGTTACATAGTTAAAAGGAAAAAAAACCCACAACAATTAAGATTAGCATAAAAGTAATGTGTTCCTTTAATACCTTGTCTAGATTTTCAGCAGTTGGCATCAATGTGAGCCATTCCAGTTTTAAATGCAATTTTCCTTTGGACACTTCATCCAAAGTAAACCACTAAAAGTTAAGAAAGGTAATGTGAAATAATCTGACACCAAATAAATACATGATTGCAATTGGCTTTTCAGGACATTTAAGAAATGCTAAGCTTTACTAGAAATCTCACTGAGATGAAGTCTGAAAAGATCTGATTCATTGTTTAAAATGTCCTATTTCACACTAAATATTACAACACAGAATAACAAAAACAGCCACATGAACCTCTATGTTACATAGTAAGAGCATTTTTAAAATATCAAGAGAATTCTTTAAGCTCTGTAAAGATGTTCTGGAAATACAAACCCTGCATAACATTACTATAAAATCCCTCTTAAATACAGGACAAAAATTAGTCTGCTAAGTATAACAATAGTTAAACCAGGCAATTAATTATTCTCCTCTAACAAAAAGCTCTCACCAAATATGTAACTTACTGGTTTTTGCATTTACATACTAGTAATCTTAAAATCCCAAGACAGAAGAAGAATGGCATTATTATTCGGATTTCACCAATTCAGATATCTCTTAAACCACAGGGAATCTAATTCTGTACCATTAAGGTTATTAATGCACATACAGGAACTATCCCCAGGAAAAAAAATATAGCACAAGAACACCTACATATACAACAGATGGGTTTCCATAAACCAAAAGTTACTGAACACTTACCTCATCTAGAAGACGCTCCTTTTCAACTTCAATTAAATCTATCATCAAACTAAAAAGAAAAAAAAAAAAAAAAAAAAAAAATCAGTATTTTAGCCAAGAAACAAAAAAATCTAATACAGAACTCAAACCCCACCCTGTGCTTGCTGAGTATCCAGGCTTCCACTGAGATCAAAAAAGCAAAATACTATTCTTTTAGCCCCTAAGAAAGGAAGAAGTAGGGAATGAAATGGCTGAACAAAGATGAATGCAGGGTAACAGAAAGTATGCCTATACTAGAGCCCATTTTGTAGCTACAAGGGCAACTGGCACAATGTGGCTCACATATATATGACCAAACTCTCAAAACAGAGACCACATCCAAACTACCCACTGGGAATAGCTCCTGGATGTATGCTATGACCAAATTCATGCTTTGGCATTGTCTGGGAGAGTGCTAGTTCACACAAGCTAAAAACGTACCAGGGAATCTCCTAAAAATTAAATAGGGCAGAGAACTGCATGCCAGTGCATGAACATTTGTTGTGGCTTTTCATTTTATTAGTACTGATGTACACGTTATGCCACTTTCCCCCCCCACCACTTCAGTGTAAGATTAGGGAAGTGCAAAGAAAAGAAGCCTTTGTACTACCTACTTCTTTATTTTAATGAGAAGAGAAGTAGGTACTGTTGCTCCTGTTAAGAGAGAAGGAGCTGGAAAGATAAGGGAGTTCTACTCTGTATGGAAAGCAACAATGGGAAGCTCCAAAACTCTGCAAGAAATAAAGGTGACAAATTACTGGAGAAAGAAGCTGACTAAAACCCTGAAATGTTTATTGGGTAAACACTAAAGGCAGGCCTATGGAATCTAAGAGTGAGTAATGTTTGCGAAAGCATTACAGCAAAATTTTTTCTTTAATCAAATAGTTAAGATCAGCTCTTAGAGAAAAATAAACTGTGAGATAGCCATTTAAAAACTATAAAGATGAAGAAAATACAGAATTATAAAGCTATCTTAACTTTGCCTGAATTAAGACTTAGTGCAAGCTTACAAATATTAAAGCAGGATGGGTACAATTCAAAAAACAACCCCCCAAAAAACACACACTTTTTTTTTTCCTGGGTACCCACAATACTTACCTTTTTTAAAAAAAAAATTAAAAAATGTAAACATATAGATGTGTATATACACACACAGGCACATTTTTATACACATATATTTACATATATGAAGTAATTACAGAACTACTTAATACCACCATTTTAAAAAGATAATAATTTTATCAGGATCAGAACTAGAACTGCCATAAAATGCAAAAAGGAAAAAAACGATCAAAATATTTAATCGCTTTTCAATACCTGCAAACATATTCTCCATAACATTTACCTTCCCAGGAAGTCATCTTTATCTGGATCTTCATCAAAGAGCTCAATCTCTAGCTCCTGTCCTGGATGTTCATATACTAAGGCCTGGAAGTACAGTAAGATGGCACTGTCAATGGCAAAACTAAATAGCTTTCTTAAATGGCATGGTACAGTAGAACATTGAACTGGAGTGCCTTTGTGTATTAAAACATACCAATAAGCAAATCTTTTAAAAAGATACAATTTAATAAGCAGAGAAAGTATAAGAGCTTTTCAGATGCTATTTGCTGACATTGGCTTTAAGAGACTAGACTGTTACTCAGAATTACTGATGCTTAGTCTAGACACAAAAAAACTACACGTCAATGGAGAATTTCTGTTTTGTTACAGAACTTCCGGCTTTTAGACAGAGTTATCAAGAAGCTCCTCAAGGAAGTCCCCAGAGTATCATCTTTAACAAAAGAAACTTTAGAAGACAACTTCATAGAACACACAAGGTATTTTTATTGGTCATACCTCATAAACTTCATTCCATTTTGGATTGAGATTTTCTTTGATGACCTTGCTTTGGAAAATCTGGTTGCCCACACGGATGATTCCGTAAGGATCTGACTTTCCTTTGACAATCCCTTTTAGGTAAGTATCTTTCCCCTCCAGGTCCTGAGCTTCAATAAAGTGTATCCTTAGAACACCCTGAAAAAGGAAAAAATGAATTTATGTCGCAATCTGAACATGTCATTACAATTTATGCAATGTGTGTTTTATAATTTCCACTGTGATTCCCTTAACATGAAACTTCGTTTGGAACACTGTAAATGGAGGCATATCAACGTTGATCCACACACACAGCAGACCTAGTGCTCAAGAGATTCCTGACTGGAAGTCAGTAGCAATAAATAGTAACAATATTAAAGTGAACTAAAAATAATTTACAGTGATAATGTAGAACATATGCCACTTACTTTTTAGTCTATACAGTTGAACTATATTTTAGCAAGCAATATATTTAAGATTCTAGCAAAGCAAAAAAATCCTGATTGGCGTTGTTATTATAAAACATTAACTCAGCAGAAAGTATCTATCAATTAAATCGATTATTTTAAGTGACTGGATTCACTGTAATTTGTACTACTGCTGTAACTGTATTTAGAAATTCACACAGATGTGCATATCTTTAACAGTTACTACTACAGAAAAAACTAAATGCCAAATTATTAGTGTTAACAAAAACATGCTTACCTTTGGTATAGGAAACCGCAACTGAGCGATCTGCACTTCACTGACAAGGGGGACTGTAATTCTATTTGGAAGGACCAGGTAGTTGGATATTATATCCAGTATTATTGTATCTGATAGGCCACTGTTGGAGAAAATAATCCTCAGTTACTTCATGAGAATTAAACACGTTATGTCACACTAATATACTCCTCTTGCTGCTTAACAACCTAAATGGAGAAAATATTTGCCGGGGCAGGTGGCAGGAGGGGTGGGGGGAGCAGAAGACACATCACGTTTTTTTAAACACGTGTTTTAAAATAAAGGATTCTTGCCAAAATGGCCACCAGGTGGAAGCAGCTGACACTAAATAGCAGAGACCACAGAGATTAATATAAAGTTCTCGTTTCCCTGCCACCGCCAAGTTCCCCCCTCACCCCTGCCTTTTAAAGCCACCCAGGGTAAAAGGCTGTTGCACAAGTTTCTTGCCTGCATTGCGTATAACCAAGCAGATGTTAACTGTTGTTCTACTTTTGTATTTCAATGATGATTTAACTGTCCCTGAAAGTCTGGCTAACCATTCCTGTATTGTTATGAAACAAGTGGTCCTCCTGAGCTCGAGGACCGGCATTTAAAGCAAAAACACAAAGAAAACATGCTCGTAGCCGAGTAAAATATAGCCAAGGGAAGCAAAACAGGTTTTGTTCTGGCAAAAAGGGAGTGGCAGTACAAGCACACTGCTAATGAATCATTAAAACGCCCAAACCCACACCCCCACGCCCACCAAGCACAGAAAAGAAACGTATTTCCTAAGGTACAAGTTCACCCGGTTTGGGCCTGAACTGACAAATCGGCACGTTTTCAGACATTAACACCGCTGGTTACCTGCACTGCCCGCGCTGGCAAAGGCAGAAGTGGAATGGTACAACTCACCACAGAAAACAGGTATCCAGGAAAAGTTCAGGGGTATGTACAAAGGTTCAGAGGGAAAATGAACAATACTTGAGAGATTCTGAACTGCAGGTGCACTCTGGCTAAAAAGCCGGCGTAGCTGCTTCACAGCTGAACCATTTCTCCTCCTAAATACATTGTAAGATTCTCCTCTTACAGTCTTTATGAAATTAAAATGCAGATATGTTTGATTACCGGGAACATTTTTCAGCTGAAGCACTTGTGAAATTTTTCTAAGACTGACTCTTCAGTGGGGAGCAGCTCTGACTCAGCGGCTAGCATATGGACACAAAAGCTGAGGTGAATTGTAATATGTATTACATTTTAATTTAGGAAGAAAATATTGTGGTAAGCAATAAACATATTACAGTAGAGATGGGTAACAAAATGAACCCACTGAGTGCAGTCTGGCCCATTTCAAATTCACACTGAACTTCCATGCCAGGTATCTGCAACCTGCACCCCCTCGGTTGCCCACTTCCACTGTAAATCCAAATGAACTATGGTATGTGATAGAACATGGCTGACTTTTTAATGGCATCCAGTACAAAAGGAACAGAAGAAACTCAAGGTTGCATCAAGATCAATGGACAGCTCTGTACAGACCTCTGTTTATTCTCTGACAAAGCAACAGTGGACAATATTGAGATACTGCTCAGAAGAAAAGTTTCCTTTCAACTTCTGTGAGTTTATTCATAGCCACCCTAAAGAGGGGACTTCATTCCCCTTCCTTTCTTCCAGAGCTTATCCAGTCATATTTACAAAGATTTTCATTGTACATGAACACTGAACCCTACAAATTTATAGTTTCAGTAATTCTTAAGACAACTACTACAAGAAGATAATTACATCATTTGAAAATAAGTAGCTTCCTTTAGTCACGGTAACACATGTTGCTTTCCAAATTTCTCAGTTCAGTGTTGCCAAACATCAAGTTTTCAACTTACGCATGTTAAACTTTCTCTAAAATAAACCAAGAAAATAGAACCCATTATTTTGTTAGAGTTGACTTAAAAATTCAAGATAAACATGTTAAAGTCTTAACACTAAAAGAAAAAAAAAAAAAAAAGGCTGAGGTGATGGTAACTACACAAGCAACAACCACACTTTTCAAAACAGAAGTCTGATGAAAATCTCCAGTAGCGAGATCAGATAAGTTTGGTTTGTTCCTGCTTTTGTCGGTGTCCCTACCTGGCAAGAAGAGAAAGCTCTGCCTTTATGCTTAGTAAAGCACATGCCTTAAGAAGAGATGATTAATGGAGAAAATGAACTGATCTAGGTCAGAGAAAGCAAATGAGCAGTTCAAGAGAGGCAATGGTACCAGAGCTGCCTTGAAAGAGAGGTTATCATGCTCCTCTCTCCTATTTAGTTAAGATCACATAAATAAACCTAACCTAGACTAGCAAAAGGTTCAGAGACTGATTAATGTTCAAATGGAGCTACAGCAGATCTCCTTAAATAAGAGAAACAGCCTGAAGGACAACCGAGCCCTGTCACTTGGAGGATTTGCAATCATTTATACTAGGACCCAACCCCAGCTCTGATTTCCAAAGGTCAGTCTCACAATTTTATTCCAACATAAATGCTTGAATTTCACAAAAACATCTGAGAAATAAATATGACAAATGAACCAGCATTAATGGAATTTCACAAAATTTTACACAGAGAAACGGGACTCGTAGGAGGTAGCAGATATTGAGTCTTTAAAAACAGGGAGCTGAAAAAGAATACTGAAGTTCATAACTAAGTACTGAATTAAATGAACATTAAATTAACATGACACTTTCAAGTTGTTTAAAACTTACCTAACTAAATATCAGCCAACTGGGATGCTTCCAGCTGGAAAGTATTCTTCATGAATACAGCGCAAAAATGACAATCTTTTTTATTATTTTATTACTTAAACTAAGAGGTCTGATCTATGGAAAACAGGGACAAATCACTAACCAAGCAACAGAGAAAGGTGTATGAAGTTAAACCCTTACATTGATGCATCATCGATAAACAGTTTCTTAAGATCGTAAAACTCTTAAGCCATTGATTCTAAGTACAATTATTTTTTCAGTTCACAAAAATGAGAGGTGTGAAATGCTTCAAATAGTTTATTATAGTAAATGTCTTCAAAAGCTCAATTTCATTGCAGAAAAATTATTGGCCATTACCAACTCTGTTGGACTGCTCTCTATTTAGCTCTGCTTAATTTTTAGTGACAGAATAAGCCGATGTGTTTTCCCTGCATCGTCTTTATTCATACTGCAGAGACAACACATCTCTCCCTGCACAGGGTATTTTTACTCCATCTTAAGCAACTGTAACAGAATTCATCCTCCCATCATCCACAGCCCCTCCTGACAGCACTTGAGGATTCTCACAGCCTGGCTCCTCCTCACATAGAGATTTTAATTCCACTCCTCCGTAACCTATACTAATGATGGAATATGAATTATTTTCGTGTCGTGCTCCTTGTGGAGTCATACGCTAAGAGCAATGAAAGTTGTTAACAGCTGACAGAGAAGCTTCCAGCAGCAAATGCAGAAATTCATTTAGCAGAAGACATTTGCAAACAGAGTACAAGTAAGTACTAAGTAGTGTGCGGCCAACAGCCATAGGATGAAAAAGGTACCTGTGGCAGCAGCAAGCTCCCGTTCACCATTGTTTCTAACAACTACAATATGTCAAGCTCTTGTACCAAAATATACAATCTATCTATACAGACAAGAAAAACAAACACAGCACTGAAGAAATCTCTTGACAAGGCAGAGCATGAGTCACCTCAGTTACAGTTTCTATAGAAACTATACCACATCTACATGGCACCATTACATGCATACGTGACCAAGCTTGGTTGCTCTGGAAACCAGACACTTGATTTACTTAGCAAGATACTGTTTACATCTGAGGTTTTGTGTTTGCAGTCAGGCAAGTATGTAGCATGATAAGAATCTCAGGAGCCTAGTAAGCTTAAGTGCTAAACGTAAATTTATTAGTGTTATGTCAACATAGCAAATCATTACTCAGAAGCTGTATTTTGGAAGCCATTTTCTCACTCATCAAGAAAACATCTTTCCTCAAGGCAGTCCTAAGCAGTCTTGAAACATAAGCAATTCTTGTAGCCATTAACCTACTTAATGCAAGTTCTAATTTCAAACTGTTCAACTGGGATTCCATGCGGTGGCTTCACAGATCTAAGTAAAGCTAAAACCGTTTCAGGCATGCAATTGACCACTAAAGGATCAGTTTAATACCTAAATTCAGACTCTTGTTTTTAAGCAATGAACAATAATTCTGGAGTCAGCCAACTCTTCACATAATAAACTGAAAGCTTTAAAAGTAAGTACCTGAAGAAATTAAAAGTTTATTTAATTACTGTCTTAAGGTATTTCTAACTCCCTTTACACAAGCAACTAGAGATGTATCAGCATACAAAGCCATGAGCTAAGATGTTGTGAACCCACTGATATGAAAAATAAGGCACTCTGTCCTTCTGCACATGGCAGATCTGGAAATCTTCTGAATTTCCTAATCTGTAAAGGCTGAGAACACTAAACAAAGCAGATTAAAAATTATCTTTTCAAAATGTTTTTAACAAGAGCTACTAGATATACTTTTGATATACTTTCACTTGTAGTAAAATCACTACCTTTTGCATATTGAGCAATTCCATGTAATTCTAAACTAAGAGATAATTGCTCAGAATCATTTAACCTAAAATATTTTAGCTGATGGTCTTCAGATTTTCTGGGGCTTACTGGGGTGGAAGAGTATTAAACATTATACATTAAACAGCTATATTTACATATACTTACTTCAGTCCTGGAACATCCAGAAGATTGGTCAGTCCAGTCCAGTTAATTTCTAAAAGCTGTGAAAAGGAGGAGGCAGGGGGAATAGAAAAAAAGAAAAGCGACTTAGAATACAAAACATTAAAGAAATAATCCTGATTACTATAGATTCTAATCAGTGGAGGGTTAATAACCAGTTTCCAGGATTTTCTTAAAAACAAAATGTCTTCCATTCTAAATGATTTTTAGCCACTGTATTAAAATTTTAAATAAACAACTCACCATCCTCTTATCCACGCTTCCACACATACATATAAATACACACATGCACACCCCAATATAAATGTGTACATAGTATCTACTACATACAACCAATATCAAATAATGAAATGTGGTCCTGTTTTCTGGAGAAATATTTTCACATTGACCATAGACCTGTTATAGATGAACAGTCACCAACATGAATTTGCAAAGTATAGTAAGTTAATAAAGAATCCCATTTGAGACCATGAAAATAAGAGATCCAGAAGACATGACCAAATGAAAGAATGAAGGACTGGGTTTGAGAAGATGGAAGGAGGACGTGACAACAGCTTGCAAACACAGAGGAGGCTGGTTTCAATGATGAAGAGACAAATTCATTCTACCACTGATCCAGTAAAGAAGAAAGGTATCAACAGGATTAGGTATCAAAGTGAATAAAAACCCTCAGAAATAATTAATAGGGATAACTGTTGCTAGATCATATGTACTTCCTTCACAGAAAATCTTTACAGAATATTAGACAAACAAATGCTATAAAGGTACTTATTCTGTTACAGGGATGCTGGCATTAACAACTGATTTCTAATGTCCTTTTCAATCCTACAATCTTCTAATTCTAGGTAACAAAACTAACAGAGCTGAGTTTCCTTATCTCCCTTCTCACTGACAACTTTCTATTAGCTGCACAGAAAGTTAATTGAATATAAGCATCAAACAAATCCAAATCCACCCAACTACCACCACGCTTCCAAATCCAACCAACCCAATTTAAGAATAACTGCATGAAAAAAGGATTTTGAGATTACTGAGTTCAGAAACTAATTGTGGTGGTTCAGTTAAATGCTGAAAAACACCAACAAATCTCCACAAGAATCTATGTTGCATCTTTCCACAAATAGGAAAGAATAATCATCCTACATTCATTTTCTATTAAAAAAAACCCCAGCACATACCATTCTTTTATAAAGGATCTATTAATAGTTTAATTAGTGATTTCCTTTGTGAATACTTTCACTAAAGATAACACATAATGCATTTACTTACATAAGGAGCACTGTTACTTAATATACTTTAGTAACGGTGGTAAAATATTTCAACAATGCTATCTAAGCAGAACCTAGCCTACCCGTAACGAACAATTAAGCAGAAAAATCATTATCCTTTCAATGGAAAAGGTAGTAAGATTTAATTAGGAATAAAGGAATATTCCAAAACAAAAGGCAAGACAGATCATGGGATGTACTGCAAGAGTCTACACGAGCCAGCAACATGCCCTTGCCACAAAGGCGGCTAATGCTATCCTGGGCTGCATGAGGAAAACCATTGCCAGCAGGCTGAGGGAGGTGATCCTTCCCATCTCCTCAGCACTGGTGAGGCCACACCGGGAGTGTTTTGTCCAGTTCTGAGCTTCTCAACACATGGACATAGTGGAGAGAGTCCAACAAAGGGCCATGAAGATGATTAACAACCTAGAGCATCCCTCCTATGAGGAAAGGCTGAGAGAGCTGGGACTGTTTCGCCTGGAAAAAAGAAGGCTCAGGGGAGATCTTATTAATGCCTACAAATACCTGAAGGGAGGATGCAGAGAAGATGGAGCTGGGCTCTTCTCAGTGGTGCCCAGTGACAGGACCACAGGCAACTGGCACAGACTGTGCTCTCTGAACATCAGGAAACACTTTTTTTACTGTGACGGTGACTGAGCTCTGGTGCAGGTTGCCCAAAGAGGTTGTGGAGTGTCCACCTTTGGAGATACTCAGAAGCCATCTGGACATGGTCCTGGCCAACCTGCTCCAGGTGGCCCTGCTTGAGCAAGGGGATTGGACTAGATGACTTCCAGAGGCCCCTGCCAATCTCAACTATTCTAGGAGTCTGTGAATATATTACGACAGAAAACAAACACTTGGTCCCATCCAGGGAGTAAGACCAGCATTTTCCTAACTATGCCGTTCAGAAGAGTGAATAAACCCACAGACTTCAATAGAATGCTTATTAAAATTTAGCACTATCCCTACTGATATCCATTTAGAAAATTGTTGGAAGATTTTTCTTAGCCTCCTTCTTTTACCATATTACACGCCTGTGCCTCTGTACCAGCAGGAAAGAAACTGAAACAGAGACTCCTTTAATAAAGGCATCTAACTTAAAACTCTAGTGGATGACTGAAAGAAGCCTTCTTTCTACCTCCATCAACCAAAAGGGGTACAATGGAGATCTACCATATTTCAGCATTTAGAAACCAACACACTTCGAACAAAATAATTACAATTTTATACAGATCATTACAGTTTATCTGTTTGCTGCTTCTAAATGCAGTTTTCTCAACCCTTCAGGATATTACTGTTTCCCAGACTCTGAAAGAATGAATGAAAGTCAAAACAGTTTTTCATTCTGTCATTACAGCATCAAACAGAGAGGAAGAACTCTCAGAATGACAGCTAAACTTCATGGTTTAGTTCGATCCAATTAGTTTTCTTACTTCACATAATTTTAAATTGTGTGGGTTAAAATGCAGTAAACAATAAACTTCTGCCAGTTGTATGCATTTTATTATATTTAATTATGCCTTTGCATCTGACCTTTTCCCCATGCCAGTTACAGAGTATCTCCTTTATCTATCCATTTCATATACCGTTTTGCCCAGAAATTATATTCAATATCTCAATAGATACAATAATGATGAAATTATGACAGCAGAAAAAAGTCAAATTTTTGTTGTTATGCTCTGACCCTTAAAAAACACATTCTCAAACTATCCACACTTAAGTAGCAGTACGACAGAGGACTGAAATGTAAAGCTTTAGACACTTTGCTGAACTATGGGTAACATCTCCTAGAAGCTTAATTCTGTGTCTTTAGAAATCACAGGAGCTTTCTAAAAAGATACTGAAGAATTGATGCTACTGTGAAAATGTAGGTTGATTTTTAAAAGATTTCTAAAACCTTATTTTGCAAGTTTCATCAGAAAGTTAAGTTTTCCTTTTCATTTATTTTTCAACAAAATACCCCAAACAGACACTGAAAATAATATGTTGGAGGAGGAAAAAAAGTAACAGAATTTTGAACTTTTTATTAAATAGAAATAATTGCTTTTTGCAGTTGAAGGCATAAAGAAATGAAGATAAAATACTTGTTGCATTAGTTGCTGGAATCACTTCTGGTTTAGCCTTTACATCATTGGTGACATGCACCACTGGATAAATTGAAAAATTTTATTTGTCTGCTGGCAATTGCATTTCGCAATTAAGATATTTTGTCTTTATAACTAGAATGTTCCAAAGACATCCTCTCACTTAGTCGTTTATTTACTTGATTCTCTGTATTAAAATTACCTCACAGGACAAAGTGAAACAAATTATCTTGCAGGACAAAATGAAACACACCACTAAATACTATTTAACATCAATTGTAACTTGCACATCAATTTTTCCAGATGTACACAACATCGGAGGTAAATGAAATAACATTATAAGGAAAGATATTCTCCAAATGTAATAGTTGCTCTAGTGACCAAATTGCATGAACACATGGAAATAGATAGCTTTCCAAAAATAAGTTCTGTGATAAAATAATAGATTTTTGGACTCTAGAAATTTTAATGAAAAGTGTCCTTACCCAAAGGTTGGAATACCTCTAAAATCCTAACTTTTATAAACACAATGTAAACAGTTATGGTCTCTTTGCTCTTTTACACACTATAAACAATTAACATTAAATGGCTACTCTCAATCTATCTGTGAAGTTAATATATGCTCTCATTATAAAATAACTTCAAAACAGAATGTGTCATCATGTCAGAATAGGATTTTTTGTTCTGAAATGTACAAGGGCTTTTACAACACTCAAAAGCATTAAGTGAAGAACATGGTAGAAATTAATAATTAAAGAACATTTCACAATAGTGAAGCAGATCATATTCTTGCTACTTGTAACAACAGTCATTCTAACATATGCCATAAATATCGACAAGCTTGCATTTAGTTTTCGACTTATGAAGTGACACAAAACACTGGATGAATGTGCAATAAATGACTAATTTGTACACAACACCAACTAAATGATGAATGCAATGGTAAAATCACTGTGAGACAATGCTATAGATATGAGCATCTTCAGAAAACTTTTCAAATTGAGCTTACTTTGCCTTTAATGTCATGTATAGCACACTTGATTTCTGTGTAAGTGGAAATTTCCCTCAACCGGGAAATTGAAAACCTTACAAGGATCTGATTTCCATCACACAAAATGGCCCAAAGCACTTTTATTCTCTGCCCAAGAAATATGTTATTTTGGTTCTGAGATACGAATATAGACTCTTGGATTAGAAGACACATGCAAAGAACTGTCTTTGCCAATCTGAAGGGAGGCTCTTGTAGTACTTTTCACTAAGTTTTCTTTACCATCCATAAAAGCACTACAGGCTCCTATATCCTAAGCACGTGGTTACTTTCAGCAAATGGTTATACAATATCAATCCAAAGTTTTTCTTCTAAAACTCAATATTTTTTTTTTAACTTTTATTAATTTTTAGGAAGCTTGATGTCAACAGAATTGGGATGAATGCTGGGAGTAAAACTTAAAATCTCAGAGCAGTAACAGTGGTTTAACTGACCATACACAGACATCTAATTCCATTTGACATCCAGGAGGATACAAAACAGAATAGTTGGGGTTGGAAAACATCTCTGGACATCATCCAGTCCAACATCCTTGCTCAAGGCAGAGTCAGCTAGAGCAGGTTAATCAGGGCTGTGTCCAGCTGGGTTTTGAACATCTCCAAGGATGGAGACTCCACAACCTCTCCAGGCAACTTGCTCCA